ATTACATCTATGCCATGTTTAAAACCATTTTTCACTCATTCTTCCTCTCTCACACAAACGAGAGAGGCGATTTCCGGCGAGCATGTCCATTTCCGGCGACCGAGCTCTCTCTCTCTCCCCCTCTCTGTCTCTCCCCCTTCGCGAACCCGTCTGTCTCTCTCTTCGCGATCGCGATCTGCCATCGTGATCTGCACCGTCTCTCCCCTTTTGCGAACCTATTTGTCTTCCTCTTCGCGATCGCGATCTGCACCATCGCGATCTGTCGTCACGAACCCGTCTGTCTCCCTCTCCCTGGCGTGAACCCATCTGTTTCCCATTTGAACCATCGCGATCTACCATCGCGATCTGCACCATCGGAGCTAGGGTTTTCATTATTATGAAATCCTAGCGCCGATTGATCTCACCATCTGCCATCGCGATTTGAATGAAACCCTAGCCCCAGTTCATCCCGCGCAGAGCTAGGGTTTTCATTATTATTATTATTATTATTGAGGTTTTTCAGTGTTTTTTTAATAAAAAAAACAAAATAATTAATGAATAAAAAATAATAATTGATGCTAATTAATTTAGACTAATTAATTTAAAATGAAAAAATGAAAAATTGAGACTAATTAATTTAAAATGAAAAAATGAAAAAAATTATATTAATTGATACTATTAATAAGAATATTGATGAATATATGTAATTGATGGAAAAATTAATAATAATTGATAATATTAATATATGTAATTTATGTAATAATTGATGAAAAAAATTAATATTGATGAATATATGTAATTTATATAATTGTGGAAAAAATTGATAAGTTATATAAATTGATGAATATATGTAAATTGATAAATTAATATAAATTGATACATTAATATAAAGAATAATAATGATACATTAATATAAAGAAAAAATGAGATATTACTAAAAATAATTAAAATGAATAATAATAATAAATAATAATATAATATAATAATAATAATAATAATAATAATAATAAAAAAAAAAAAATTGGAAAAATTAATACATTAATATAAATTGATAAATTGATGAAAAATTGATGAATATATGAAAATAATATGTAATGAAATCACAACATTAATTTAAATTCGAACATGAATATTATTTTAATGAATTAATAAATTAAAAAAAATTAACAAAGAAATAAGAGAAAGAAAAAAATTAAAAAAAGAAAGAAAATAAGGTGAAAAAGAAAAAAAAATAAAATAAAATGAAAAAGAAAAAGAAAAAATGTATTATAAATGAAATCACAAATTTTATATCCTATAAGGGCAAAAATGACAATTACACAACAAAAAGCTATTTTACAGCTTATTTACCAAACACTACTCTTGCGGCTTAAATTCATAATCCCACAGCTGTACCAAACACGTTACCAACTTATATTTACAGCTGTAAGTTATAGTTTGTTAAGCTATAATCTGTAATCATATTCCCCTCAGTTCTACCAAACGGGGCTATTATTTGACATAAATTAAATAAGTGTGCTTATTAGATAAGTAAACTTATTTCTGTCATAGTATCTCTTTATTTTTTATATATTTTTTTCATAAAAATTAAAAAGCATAGATCATCTCAAATAATTTTTTAAATAGCTAATAAAATAAAATAAATTAAAATAATTAATAAGATAAAATATCATATTAAAATTAAAATTATTTTTTTATAATTATCAAATCAATTAAAAAAATTAATTATCATTTCAAATATAATTTCTTAATTAAATTAAAATAATAAAAAAAAATCAAAATAGAAAAGTTTCCAAACCAGCCCAAAATGAAGACTCCTCTCCAAAAGCTCTCTCTTTCTCAATAATTCTCTGCTTACCTTTTCGTCCAATCACGTCTCTCGTTACGAGAAGTTATTGATTTATTGAGAACAGTGTGACGTAATGTTTTATGGGTTTAACTTGTCTCATATTGAGATCAAGACTGGGCGTATTTAGTCCGGTTCATGAGTTTATTTTTAGATTTCGTTTCGATAATTTGAATCGATTAATGTGTACAATTCGTCAAGTACTATACTCATGTACAAAATTACATTGATCGGATATCGATAACTATTTGATCAGATTAAATTTGTATTAAAAAATGAATGGTAAAAAAAAAATAAACAATGACAGAATTCTGACCCGATCAAATAGCTATCCATATCCGATCAACTTGATTTTTTACAGGGATATAATATTCGATGAGTTCTATATATTTGAAAGGTTCGGATTATCAAAACAGAATCAAAAAAATGAGCTCATGGGCTGGACTGGACGGGTCCAATCTTGATCTCAATCTGAGACAAGCTGAACCCAGGTTTTATATATTATATATATATTATATATATATATATTCACAACAACAATGATAGAGAGTTTTAATTTTAAAACTTGAAAAAGAGCTCCAATGATATGGCAAAAGAAAAAAAAAAAAACAAAAAACATAGGCACACACATTATATCACATGTAGGTCTCACTTCTTATCACATCATTAGAGCTCTCCTTAGAGTTCCAAATTAAAGCTCTCAATCTTTATTCATTCAACAATGATCCATCCCCATAAACGAATGCCTCTGATGAATTCTAATGACATGAAAAAATCAAAAAAAAAAAAAAAATCACTATCACAGTAGGGCCTACCCCAAATTAGAGCTCCTGAGCTCCTTTATTATAGCTCTAAAACTTTTTTGATATAATATTATGAAGAAATGTTTTAGAACTCTAATAAAAGAGTTCTAGGAGCTTTAATTTGGGGTGAGTCCCACTATGATAGTGATATTTGTGTTTTTTTTTTTTTTTTTTTGAGAAATGTTTGAGAACTCTAGGTAAATAGTTTTAATTTATGTGTGGACCCCATCTGAAGTGATGATTTAGCTTTTCTTATTTTATTTTATTTTATTTTACATCACTAGAACTCAATTAGAGCTCTAGGGGAGTTAATCACTTTCTTTTTTTTTTTTTTTTCTTTTCATGTCGCTAGAGCTCATTAGAGCTCCTTTATTTCGGAGGATGTGTCATTGTTGTATATTATGATTGATAAAAAAATAAAATTTAAAATTTTATATTAAGTAATTAAAAAATATAAGAGATATATAGAGGTTAGTGTTGACTAAAGAAAGAGATGATCACAGAACACAGGGTGATTGGCTTAGTGAGTAACAATTGAGCCTAGAGGTTTTCCCTCACAAGTTTCAGGTTCAAATTCTCTAGCCAGTATAAGTTGATCCAAATACTCTATAATACCAAAAAAAAAAAAAACTGACCCAAAATACTCTATATAACAAACACCCAAAATACCCTATAATAGCAACAACAAAAAAGAAAAAAAGACCCAAAATACCCTATATAACAAATACCCTATACATATATAGCAAACAACCCTATAACAAATTAAAAATAATATAAAAAAAAAAGAAAAGACCCGCAATACTCTATAAAGCAAATACCCAGACTACCCTGTATAAAAAAATAAATAAATAAATAAAAAGCAAAAAAAAGAAAAAGAAAAAAAGAGAGACCCAAAGTACCCTATATAACAACACCAGAACACCCCTATAACAAACACCCCAAAATACCGTACATAACAAATATATATATAGATAACAAACAAACAAAAAAACAAAAAATTAACAACAAAGAAAAGAAACTGACTTAGAATACCAATATATAACCAAAAAAAAAAAAAGAAGAAAGAACTTAACGTATATAAAAACAAACAAAAAAAAAATACAAACAAAGAAAAGAAACTGACTTAGAATACCATAGGAACTTACCATAATATACAACAAAACAAATATATATAACCAAAAAAAAAAAAATTAACAAACAAAGAAAAGAACACTGTCGCAGAATACCATATACATATATATATTAAAGGAAACTTACCATAATAACAAACAAAATAAATATAATATAACAAAAAAAAATAATAATAACAAACAAAGAAAAGAAACTATCCAGAATACCATATATATATATAGAGTCATGGTACGTAGCTCGAGAGATTGGCCCTCCCCGAATCCCCCTAATCTTAAAACGATGTCGTTTCGACGTCTGAATTTTTTTTTTTTTTTTTTTTTTTGGAGATTAGAAGGGAGAAGAAGGAGGAGGGAGGGGGATTTGCAGATCAGAAGGGAAGAAGAAGGAAGGGGAGGGGGAGGGGGAGGGGGAGGAGAAGGGACTGGAGGGGGCCCAACAAATGGGCTGGAGGCGGAGGCGACGAGCTGACGATCAGCGGAGGCGACGCTGCTTGCTGCCACGATCGGCGGCTGCGAGCTGACGATCGCGGCAGCGGAGGCACAGGCGACGATCGGCGAGCTTCTCTTCCCCTGTTCTCCTCTTCCCCTCTCTTCTCTTTCTCTCCCCTCTGCAGAGTCGAAGGAAGGAAGGAAGGAAGGAAAAATGGAAGAAAGGAACGAAAATGGAAGGAAAAAAAAAAAATTCAAACGTCGAAACGACGTCGTTTTAAGGATTAGGGGGATTCGGGGGCATCTCTCGAGCTACCAAACATTATTGATATATATATATATATATATATAAAGAAGTACCATATATAACAAACGAAAAAAAAGAACTTAATTTGAACGTATATAACTGATCTATGTAACAAATAAAATAAAAATAAAAGGAATATCTTATATAACAAATAAATTTTAAAAAAAGAAAAGAAAAAGATGAATCACATAGTGTTGCAAAATCAAATCATAATTTTTCTTTTCAATAACAAACACCCAAAAATACCCTATATAACAAATATATATATATATATATATAAACCAAAAAAAAAAAATAATAACAAAAAAAAAAAGAAAAAGGAAACTGACGCGGTATACCATATATAACAAACCAAAAAAAAGGAACTTACCATGTACAACAAACAAAAAAAGGAACTTAATTTAATACGTATAAAAGCTGATTCATCAGAATATCGGTTATAACAAATAAAATAAAATAAAAGGAATATCCTTTATGACAAATAAATAAATAGATGATCACGTTGGGTTGCAAAATCAATCAATAAATTTTCTTCTCATTGCTTTCTCTCACGATCTTCTCTCTCCGAATATATATATATATATATATGTTGACTGGAGAGGGAAAGAAAATGAAAAAAAGAAGAGTAATTGAGTGAAAGAAAGACAATCCTATCTCTTCACAACTCTTTTCTACTTTCTACGACGATTTTGTTGTCGATTCTCAAAAATGTTTGCATGTTAATGTTCAATCGTCGAGGTTCGTATAGGGTTCGCTGACTTCTTTCAGGTATATTTTATTTGTATGTGTATGATTTTCTTTGTTCAATTTGATGATGATTTTTTTTTTTTTATTAATTTTTTGGGAAAATTTGAAGTGTTGGTGCTGTGAAATGTTGAATTTGGAGTTTATTTGGATTACTAATAAATTGAAAGTACCGAGAGAGAGAGAGAGAGAGACATCACACACAGCCAAATTTGTGATAATTATTTTTTGGTGTATTGTATTGATGTGTGATTATCGTTGAGTTTTGTCTGCGTTTATGTGTCAAAATAAGTTCATTTGAATTTTTATTTTTTGGTGTATTGTATTGATGTGTGATACTCATTGAGTTTTGTCTGCGTTTGTGTCAAAATAATTTCATTTGAATTTTTTTTCTTCCTGCGAATTCACTCATGAAAAAAAGAAGAGTAATTGAGTGAAAGAAAGACAATCCTATCTCTTCACAACTCTTTTCTACTTTCTACGACGATTTTGTTGTGGATTCTCAAAAATGTTTGCATGTTAATGTTCAATCGTCGAGGTTCGTATAGGGTTCGCTGACTTCTTTCAGGTATATTTTATTTGTATGTGTATGATTTTCTTTGTTCAATTTGATGATGATTTTTTTTTTTTTATTAATTTTTTGGGAAAATTTGAAGTGTTGGTGCTGTGAAATGTTGAATTTGGAGTTTATTTGGATTACTAATAAATTGAAAGTACCGACCGAGAGAGATAGAGAGACATCACACACAGCCAAATTTGTGATAATTATTATTTGGTGTATTGTATTGATGTGTGATACTCTTTGAGTTTTGTCTGCGTTTGTGTCAAAATAATTTCATTTGAATTTTTTTTCTTCCTGTGAATTCACTCCCTACTCTTTGAAAAAAAATAAAAAAATAAAAAATTTGATTGATTTTAATTCATTTTGGACCATGATGCCTCTTGAGGTAGTCTGTAAAATTTTACTTTCCTGTATGATCCAAAGGTTTAGTCATGGAATTCATGGGCTTTGTTTAGAATTTTATTGAATCGTTGTGGTAAGGTTTTAATAAATTCATGGGGCATTCTTAAAAAAATTAGTTTAAGATGATACTATCAACCCCACTTACTGCACCAAATAACTTACCATTTCTGAAGGAATGGGAGTTACTGTTTTTAAGGAAGATTCAATCTCATCAGTAGTTTGGCCAATTATAGGGTTGCAAACAAGTCAAGCCTAGGCGACCTATGGGTTTTCAAGTTCAGCTTGCTGAAAATTAGTTGGACTCTAGTTCGAGCCGATCTCTAGTCGAGTTTAAAGAATTGAGCTAGAGCTTTGTTCATCTAATGTTTGAGGAACTTAAGCTCGACTCAAGTCAACTCAAATATATAAACAAGCCATTCTCAAGATTGAGTTTAGAAAGAAAATCAAACCTAAATTAACTTGCACATTAAGATAAAAAAGAGTAGATTATGAGTAAAATATAAAAGAATGCTCATATTATTAATAAGTTTCATCAATCAAATACATAAATTTGCACAAACATCAAATATAAAAAAAAATTAAAATTAATATGTTAATAAAAATATTAGTTGATAAATTGTTTTTAAAAAAAAAAAAAAATTATATATATCCCTGTCTTCATGAGCCGATTTGAGTTGAACTTGGTTCTACTCAAGCTTGGTTCGATTACTAAACCAGTCTAAAAGTTTTGCTTGAGCTCGTTCATTTAGCAAACAAGCTGAGCTAAAATGATATTTAAATGAGCCGAACTTGAACTGTTCATGAACAACTAGGTTCTTTTACAGTCCTAGCTAGTTAGAATGACTTTGTTGGGTTGATGAAGCCTTGTTTGCTGGTTTTAAATATGGAGAATTGTTGTATATGTGATTTCTCTCAAGGAATATGCAGCCTTGATCATGTTACTTACGAAACCCCCCCTTAATAATGGTCTTAATGGCTTTGGCAGTCACGTATAAGTGCATGTAGTGTTTTCAATTTGAAAGGTTTAATTAATTAAAAGTATGAAAACTTTTGTTTTAGTTTATAAGGTTTAAAGATCTCAGGAAGTTAGTTCAAATAGGTATACTACTTTGTATGGATTAGTGGACTTGTTATACTTGTATCCATTCCGTTAGTGGTTGCAGTGACCTTACTGATGCTGGTGTTTTGACAATTTTGCTGATACTTTATGCAACTGAAGTTGTTGTTTTTTAGTAGCTTAAATCTATCTAACTGTTCATATCACAACTGTAGTTCCAAGGTATTTCAGGTTTGGTAGCTTTTGTATTTCTTCCACACCCCCCCCCCCCGGCGCGGTTATTGATGAAAAATGCTTTCAAGTTTCAGTAGGTTTCTTATTAACTCGTACATGTCTGTAGGTTTCTTATTATTGGCTGTAAGGTAATGCAATGGAGCAGTTTTCAGAGGATACCACTTCTTGTAATTCCTAAACCCCGTCTTCTTGTTTCTTGTTAGCTAAAAACAAAAAGCGAAGTGTGTTATATTGAGGAGTCATGTGATCATGTGTGCTAGGTCATTCAAAGATTCCGATTAATGTTTCCAAGGCAGTGGGAAGTAGAGCATGGGGAGTCTCGTCTAGATCTGATGTATATCGTCCCTCAAGTGATGCTACCCTTTTCTTTACTTCATTGCCGGTTCTTCCACATGATAAGTGTATGCACCAGGTTTTGCTTTAAGATTCCCTATACCATGTTCATTTTGATAAAATAATTTTCTTTCTTTCTCTTTTGGCAGTGAACTTAAATAATACAGTTTATGGAATTCAATCTGTTGATGATATCTCATCCAGCTTAAACAAATTCCATCCAGATGTTGAAGGTATGGACCTGCTTGAAGATGTCGAAAATCAAGCAATTGGAAGCTTGCTTCCTGATGATGAGGATGAACTTTTAGCTGGCATAATGGATGGTTTTGACTGTAGTGGGTTTCCTAATCAATTGGATGACTTGGAAGAGTCTGATCTTTTTGGCAGTGGAGGCGGCCTGGAATTGGAATCTGATCCACAGGAAAGTTTGGGTAAGATTATGTCAAAGATAAATTTATCTGAGGGTGTTGTTGGGAATGGAGTTGCTCATTATGGCTTTGCAAATGGCGTGGGAAATATTGCTGGAGAACATCCTTATGGGGAGCATCCTTCCAGAACGTTATTTGTTCGAAACATTAATAGTAATGTTGAGGACTCGGAGCTGAGAACTCTCTTTGAGGTAATTCAAGTTGGTTATACACCTCCTTGTAGTTAGGATTTGTTTAAGATTGTCACACTACCACTTCTTTGCACTTGGTTGTCTTATCTTCTTATCTCCTTCTTCTTCTTTATTTTTTATTATAATTTCATAGCTGCTTCTGTGGATATATTTAGCACCATTCTTGTACCAATTTAAAATTTTTATTTTTTCCAATTTATTTTTTTCCCTATAGAATTGCACATAATTTTCTTTCATGACTCGCTGTTTAATTTTGCATTTGTTTTGGCATATATTCTCTAAGATTAGCTGTCCCAATAGAAGTATCGAGAGAGCATCGAGAGAGAGACTTTGATCTTCATGAGGATGTATCATCTTCTTCTTCGGTTATTGTTTTACTACGGTTATTTATTCTCTTCTGCCTTTCTCTCCCAGTTGTCCATCAAGTCAAGAATGAGTATAACTTATCTTGGGGAATGGGTTTATTGAAGTGACTGGTTGCAAGTTTCCTTGATATCATATGCAACCACCATGATATTTTCCTTTCTATTTCTCCATCGTTGCTTGGTGCAATGGTAAAAGCCTGGGCTGCCAAGCTTGAGTTTGCAGGTATGAGTCTGAATGTGACCACTTTGGGCAAATAATGCTAAAGGTTAGGTCTGTCTCTAGTCTTATCCTTCTTAATGATTAAGGCCCCTTTTCTGATTCTGTAACATATTATCATTCTTCTAAACCTGCGGGCATAGATGTTCCAGACCTTATTTGGTATACTCTTTTGATATGTCGGTTTCTTGATTTGGAATAAAATTATTGGACCACTTTCTTCTTCTTGGTAGTCTTATAATTTAAATTGTTTGTGGCTGTTTAACTGCATGGTAGGAAGAATATGAGTTACAGGTCTGAAATATGACTACCATTCTTTATGATCAAATAACAAATTACTAACAGATCTCATTTGCTTCACAAATTTTGATATTTCTATCCTTAGCAATACGGCGACATCAGAACTCTATACACTGCATGTAAACATAGGGGCTTTGTGATGATATCTTATTATGATATCCGTGCTGCTCGAATTGCTATGAGGGTATTGCAAAACAAGCCACTAAAGCGGAGGAAACTGGACATCCACTTCTCAATTCCAAAGGTTTGAAACAAATTTTCAGCTTCATGTAGTTTAGTTTGTACATGTTGATATATTGTTTTTACTTGTTTTCTTTTCTCTTTCCTGTATTTTCCCCTTTTCTGGCACCTCACCAGGATAACCCATCAGATAAGGACATTAATCAAGGAACTTTAGTAGTTTTTAATTTGGATCCTTCGGTTTCTAATGATGACCTTCGTCAAATATTTGGGGCTTATGGCGAGGTTAAAGAGGTGATAAATTATTCTATTTGTTCCTCCCCCCCCCCCCCTTCATTTGTTGTTCATCATGGTTTTCTTTCTTCCTTCAGGCATTCTTTTTGTAATAACTTGGCTGATATCTGAGTAAGTTTGGTCTTAATTGTACAAGCAGATAAGGGAAACACCACACAAGAGGCATCATAAGTTCATTGAATTTTATGATGTTAGAGCCGCTGAAGCAGCACTTAGGTCCTTAAATATGAGTGACATAGCTGGTAAACGCATAAAGCTTGAACCAAGCCGCCCTGGAGGAGCACGTCGAAAGTGCGTGTCTGACTTTCTTAGTTCTCACCTTTACAAGTGTATTAGGTGTTCATGTTAAACTACTTTCATCAGTTGATCAGCTTATGCTCTCCCTTCAAACAAGTTCCCTAATTTCATTTTACCATTACAATTGCTGGGCACGTTTATTGCTTATTTACTGCATTTTTTGTTTTGCAAAAATGCTGATTGTATTTGGTGGTTGAGTTTCCTCTCTTTTGCTGGCTAAATTGAATTTATCTGTCTGTAAATTTCTATGTTAAGTATTGGGAGGTTTGTCCCTTCTGAAATGAAACAGAGAATAATTGACATTTAGCCAATTGCATTTAAGAAATGGATAGATATGTCAATGTCATGGAGGAAGTTACAGGTGAGTGATGGATTTTAGGTAGTATTTGAAGAAAAAGAAATGGACATGCTGATTTTGTTTTGTTTTCCATCTTTTGTATACGGGTGGTCTTTCCTTAATGCCCTTTATAAGGAAACTTAATTTACTTATCAGGAAGTATAACAGAACGATCATTATATGACTACCATTCATCACTTAGAAGCTTTGTGTCTTAACTTGATAGGGGCAGGCATTTAATTATTATTTTATCAATTTGGGAAGCATTTTGGTTCTAAAGAGGGACACCTCTTTTTTTTTTCTTCTTTTTTTTTTAATTAATACATTTTATGGTGCTCTTTTGCTATAACAATTGCTTCTCTTTTTATGTAGTGGAGATTCCTAGTGTTTAGTTATGTATGCATAGCATACCACTGACATTAGAAAGAATTAAAATAAGAAAGCAGGTGTAAAGTACGCATTAGAACCCAATGAGGATGAGATGGTGAGAATATTATCTACATCTACACTCTTACAAATAGGAATGGTAATGCAGTGTGGTGGGGCCGGATGGGGTTGGTTTTTATTCATCCTGTCTCCTCCTTGACAACCACCGCCGCGACCACTCGACATCCCTGTTCCCAACCAGGGATTACAAATTGCACTCCACGAGTTCCAAAAATCCAACCATAATATTTATAGCACAACCATAATTTGGAACAAAACTAGTCATTGAACGAGATACATGTGTGTAAATATTGATATATGTTGGTAGGTGTGTACCTGTGGTACCATCAGTCCTTTTCCTTTCGTTGGTAACCCCACTTTTCGAGAAATTGAAGGCATCAAATGAAGACAGACCATCATCCTGTTGTCGTCTTACACCATAATAACTGTAACTTCTGTAAGAGAGGGGCTGGGAATCTCCAGATTGGGATTTGATTTAGATTTGGGGTTGCTATAAGGATTTGTTTAGGTGTGTGCATGAGTATAATATACTTCTGCACCACATACATTTCGATCAGTCTCAGTAACTTTGGTTCTCAAAGTTAGAAAACCAAGACCTAACTGAAAACCAAGGAAGTAAAGTCAGCAAAACCAAACAGATTAATTCCAATTGAAAAGCCAACAAAGAATGGCCTGTTCGGTCTGGTTTGGTCAGTTGAATCAGTTTGATTGGTTTCCTTTTTACACCCCTATTATATATCCTACGAAGAGAGCTGTTACAGTGATTTCAGTAAGGTTTTTGCAGTCGTTTGCTTGACTTATTCTACTTTGATTGTTTTTGTAGAGGAACGGTATGATATTAAACTTGTCCCCTTCACATGTCAATTTAAAATTTTTAAAACCTTTCTGTTATGATTTTAAGTATGCCCACTGAAATTCAAGATTTATGTTGAACATGATGCCAGTTTGTGAAACTATCATAGAGGGTAACATAAACATAGTGCAGGAAGTAGCTTTTTCTTGTGACTTATTGTTAAACTCATGCTATTTTGTGCTGCAGTTTGATTTCTAGAATTTGTTACGAGGCTCTCTCTCTCTCTCTAAAACAACTGTTTAATACAATTGTTGCCTTGTTACATGTACCTTTAGCCTTATGTTGCAACTGAACCAAGAGCCTGAACAAGATGAATCTCGGAGTTTCCGGCTTCAAATGGATTCCTCAATAACCAACTCCCCTCCAGGTGATGCCTTTTTGTGATTGTTTTCCCATATTGTTGAGCTTGTAGAGTTAGTCTGTGTTCTTGTTTGAGTTGTGATTTCTTGGTCCTCTTTTACTGTAACAGCTATCTTACAAGTTGGGTTGATACCCACATTCCTGGCAGGTTGCTGGCCGCTTTTTGGCAGCCCTATAGAATGTAGTCCTCTGCAAACTCTCAGTCATTCCCCTGGCTTCAGGTCTCCAAGTTCCACAATTGGGAATAATATACCTGGATTAGCTTCAAGTCTGCATCCTCAGATATCAAACTCTGCAAGGGTTGCACCTATTGGCAATGGAAGAGTTAGCCATGTGGAGCATAAATTTACCAACACAAATTCAAACCATGGAGCTTCCATTCAACAGTCTCATTCATTCCCAGAGCCAAAGCTGAATCAGTATTCTGGGACCATGCCCTCTTTTGGTGCTGCAAGTTCAAATGGATCCGGTATTGAAACATTGTCTGGGCCACAATTTCTTTGGGGAAGTCCTAATCTGTACCCAGAGCAAACTAATTCTTCTGCCTGGCGAACACCATCTATGGGCCATCCACTTACATCAAGTGGACAGAGCCATGGCCTCCCATTTACCAATCACCACGGATCTTTCCTCGGTTCATCTCAACACTATCCTCGTCATCACGTTGGATCTGCCCCAGCTGGTGTTCCTTTAGAAAGGCAATTTGGTTTTTACCAGGACTCTCCAGAAACATCATTCATGAGTCCTGTTATCTTTGGAGGAATGGGTTTAAGCCACAATGACGGCAGTTTTTTGATGAATGTGGGTGCCCGTGCTGCTGTGAATGCTGGCGCTGCTGTTTTAGGAAACATATCAGAAAATGGTTCTCCTGTTCTGAGGATGATATCTTTGCCAAGGCTTAGTCCTGTATTCCTAAGTAATGGTCATTACCCGGGATTGACACCCACCAGCATGGAGGGTTTTGAGCGTGGACGAAGCCGGCGTGTTGAGAACAATGTGAACCAGATAGATAGCAAGAAACAGTTTCAGCTTGATTTGGATACGATTACAAGTGGTGAAGATACTCGGACAACTTTGATGATTAAAAACATCCCGAACAAGTATGGGTTCTGTAATCCTTCTGATTCATGTGAATAACAGCTAGTGCTGGATTTCTTTGTGATACTAACTTTTGTCTTCATCCAGGTACACCTCAAAGATGTTGCTAGCTGCAATTGATGAAAATCACAGGGGCACCTATGATTTTCTCTATCTGCCCATTGATTTCAAGGTGATTTTTTGTGGGCATCTGATGAGGCTATACCATTTTCTTAAATTCATTGCAACTGATAGTGGTTTGTGCGTGTGAATGCAGAATAAATGTAATGTGGGTTATGCATTTATCAATATGCTCTCTCCTTCACACATTGTTCCGTTCTATGAGGTATTCAAACTAGTTGTGTCTTGATTAATTTTTCTGCTTTGGGCAGTTGACCTTTTCCTTTTCTTTGAGTCCATACAATTTGCTTTCAGACTAGAAACTGCCAGAATATGACATTTCTTAATTGCAGATGAACATAATCCCGAATTGTGAGGTTTCAAAAGCAACTTACATGATCTACTCGTGTTCCTAATTTGCGCAGGCATTTAATGGAAAGAAGTGGGAGAAGTTCAACAGTGAGAAAGTTGCTTCATTGGCATATGCCCGAATTCAGGGAAAGGAAGCCCTTGCCACCCACTTCCAGAATTCCAGTTTGATGAATGAAGACAAGCGGTGCTGGCCAATTCTTTTCCACTCGGATGACTCTGAGGCTGTTGATCAGGTAACATTGTTAATTACATTATGAAAGCTAAAGCAACTGAGATCTATATCCTCTGCTTTCCCATATCGTTGATAAAATAAATTACATATTATATTACCTTTAACATACCAGAACTTCCATAACCGACCTAGAACATTCTGGTTCCTTTTCCTTGCTCTAGGACCAATCCATAGTGTATCCTCATATTGAACCTTCCTATTAATGTGGTTCAGTGAATTGTATTCATTACATTAGATTATAATGTTATCCTATATTTATTTATTTTTGGTCATGACTATCTTGAAGACAGGTATAGCTCCCCAATTTGTTTAGGTTAGATGTAATAATTGCTGACTGACTAGTCTCTCTGGGTAGATTATCCCGGATCATCTTCTGATGAATGGTTTGAACATCCAAGTCCATCAATCAAATGAGTCTCGCGCAGGGGATTCGCTGGGAAGTCCATCAGAGGGCAGTCCAGATGAGAGCTAACAGCATAACAGTAGTGAGATCGAAGCTGATTGCCCACAGTCCAAATTAGTGGTGGCTGTGATATATATATGTATATATATTTCTATAAGTTTAGAAGGTGAACCAGAGAGAGGAAGCTTGTAGATTTTGTATCATAGTTTGACATTTCGCAAGAGAGCTTTGGGAGCTGCAGCAGCAGGGGTATTTTGACTGATGTGCAGATCAATGGTTACCATATGCATCAATCAACCAGTATGTGCATGGTATATCCTCTCATTGCTTCAATTTGGAGTCTTTGTTTTTTTGTTGATATTTTTTTACTAGAGGTTGGGTAAATCAATCTGCAAATATTATGTTTATTTTGGAATACTATAATAGTAAGTATATGAGAAAAATGTGCATTGTGGGTTGAACTTTTTCGGCAGGTGAAGTGTAGTTGGGCCTATCTACAATTTGTAAAGTGGGAAGACACAATGTCATTTGTTAATCTTATTATCGACTTAAATGAAAATGTGTAATTTTGAGGCATGAGATTGTACACATTGCTTTGCATCTACTTGTCTTATTTCAATATTAGACAGTCAATGACTCTCTGGTTATTGTTAAAGGGACTTCAAATGTATCAAATGTTTTGGGAAACAAGTTTCTGTTGAAATGATGACTTCATTATGATGAGATGGATGAATGTGCTGCTGTAAGAGTTTGTTGTGTTCAGTTCTCTGTGGCAATTTCAAATTTTACATTTCCCCATTTACTATGGTCTATTATGCATAAAGGGTGTGAAAGTGGTTTTAGTTCCTTAGTGTATATATGGGTTTTGGTGCTGTCAAGTCTATTGTCAATACTGTGCCTATTGATGTCCTAAATTTGAATATAGAACCCATGCATAGAGTGGAATATCACATCTGGGCTAATTTGGAACATGAAGGATGAGAACATTGGAGAACCTCTTGTTCATATTTCAATTTAGTGATGAAGTGCTCTACTCAACGTGGCACATATTCGGAGTTTGTTTAGGATGCAGCTAAGAAGGTTATATTCTGGCTAAATTAGATAAAAAGCCATAAAATATATTTTCATCAGTTAAAAAAGTCAAAAAGTAATTCAACTTTTCGACTCAAAAAAAAAAAAAAAAAATTGTAGCAACTTCCCAAAAACATTCGCTTTTTAACTTCTAAAAAAATCAAAAATTCACTAGAAAAGCTAATGCCAAATTCACTCTCAAAGAAAACAAACTACAGAATAGTGCACATAGAAAGTCTGTTTCAACTGCATATTATTAATGTTGCCAAAGGGAGGGAGCTAGTCATTCAGCATGCATAATATCAAAATTCAAAAGGAGTACTTAAAAATATCTCCAATTTTGACCTGAATAAAGTAAAATATAAGTGTGATTTTCAAAAATCGCGGTACAACTTCAAATAGTTAAGAGAGTAGATTCTCAGTTGAGGAAAAAAGGAAGTTTGATCGATGCTACGTCTGCAAGAAGAAAGGTCATCATGTAAATCAATATATCGATAAATCTGAAGATAAAGCAATCAAGTTTTTGTCCCAAATTGAAAATGTTGATGATGCCTAATGTTAAGAGTCTCTTTTCTCTCTGCAAGATGAACCAATCTCAGGCACACTTCTTGCATCCTTGTAGAAGAGAGCCATTTGGCTGTAATTAACTGGTTGAAAACCTCAATGAAAGTTATGTATATCTCCAATGCTATGGTTATGGGACCTATTTCATTTATAATCAACTACATTTTATGTTAAAAACTACTCCACCTACTACACCTACCACCACCTACTACAAACCTACCACTACCACCTACTACCACCTACTCCACTACATCTCCTATAAAAGGAGCCCCTCGCCATTTGTAATTAACAACATATAACAATCAATAATACAATCATTTCTCTTTATACATTAAATTTCTACATTTTATCTATTTATTCTTCCTTTTGAAGACAATTTTTTATTTATTCTTAAGGTTGTGTTTAGATATCGAATTTGTGAAGGGATAAGTGGAGGTCATGACTATCTTGAAGACAGGTATAGCACCCCAATTTGTTTAGGTTAAAAGAAAAATGAAGTAGAAGCCACATTTTTGCCCTCCTCTCTTCGCCTTACATTTTTCTCCCCTCCACAAACCCTTTCACAAATCTAAAATCCAAATACAGTCTAAATATAGTAAAACTCAAACAGTTACAAGATCATTTTGACATTCTAATTACAATTGCACAAAATATGCATTTGATTGGGGTAAAATAGAATCATCACACTTCAAAGTTTAGAGAGCCGATGCCAATTTTAACTGGGGGAAAAAAATAAAATTCTGATGACAAGACGGAAAACATACCCACAACACATTTCTTCATTGTTTCATCAGTACACAAACATTTACACTAGCCCCTTGGCCAGTGAACCAAAATACAGGGCTTCAATTTCTACATCTCAAGAACAGTAGATATTTACATGTTCATGCATATGCCTTTATGTTATGGTTGGTCATATACAAGAGTGATGCAGATGAAACTGCGATAGAAAGATCTCTCGATAAAGAGCAACATGCACAACAGTTTACTAAAAAGCAATCAAAACCATAATAGATGTTGGGCTTTAACAGGAAATAATATTGAAAATTGAAGCTGATAGATACACTGAAGAAGAAATCAATCAGGTCGTTCGGCTTGTATCCTGTTGTTGTCTTGACGTTTTTGTTCTAAGTTCGAGGTCAATGAGGAAGTAACATCTATCTTGTTCTCTCGCATAATGGATATGACCGTTCATAATACTAAGAAGTTTGCGGGACAGGTTTAGACCAAGTCCTTCCGGTGTTGTCCATTTGTTTCCTCCTTCAAACATATCTTGAATAATAGCAGAAGGAATGCCCTTACCAGGATGAGTCATTCTAATCAAGAAGAGAAGGAAAAAAAAAAAAAAAAAACAAGTATTAATCCATAATAATAACTAAATAGTGCACGCACTTCTCAAGAGGAGCCAGAACTCCCAAATATGCCTCGAAGAAAACGACTCATACTCATAGCTGATACAACTTTAGCATATTTAGCAGACACTTAAATTGTTGAAATAGGTCTACAGAAAGAATATAATAGTAATAGAACAATCATGGCACATGTAATATGATTATGTAATATAATACAGAAAACAATATAATTTTTTTAGAATAAACTCCCAAGTAATGAAAATGTTCATACATAAATGAATGGACAAATTATATCAGTAGTTCTAGCATTTTACCCATTTTGTTATTTTGGTCCCTACACTTCCAATTAATTCGATTTTGATCATTAATTTTAAATTTTGTGCCAATTCTGTCCAATTGATGATGCTTGTTAGGATTTTTGACAAAACATCCCTGAGTTCGTTGCGTAAGTTTACAATTTTGCCTCTAAAAACATGACACATGTAGCTCACATGTGCATTTTCCATAAAAAATTGTAACTAGTGTAATTAATTGAACCAAATTGAGACAAAATCATAAATTACAGGTCAAAATTGAGCCAATTGAAATTACAGAGACCAAAATGACACAAAGACTAAAATATATAGACTACCGATGTAATTTACCATAAAATGAACTAATAAACTTGCTGTGTCCGTCCCTCTCCTACTTTTTTCAGGATTTGAATAAATAACAAATGATTCTAGAGTGGCATGCTCATTTCCTCTTTCATGCAGACAAAAACACACATGCACAAACACACAAAATTACCAACATAAACAGATCATTCATAAGTAAAAAAATAAAATAAAATTGGAGCTTAATTTCTATCACTAATAGGATAAAGTCCCATTTCAGAAACTGAAAATATATATGGCAGTCATACCTGAACTGTAAATGGACAAGTTCATTCCCATCTTGTATCAGTTTCAAACCAGGCGAGACCTTGATTTCTACCCAACCATTTGGAGAAGGTGCATAATGTGCTATATTAAGCAAGAAATCCGACAAAACCAGCTGAAGTCTAACCTGGTCGCCAAATAGATATAGCATTTTGATTTCATCAGGAATTTCATGAACTAGTTGTAATTTCTTCTCCTTTAGTAGAATCATAACTTGGCTAACAACTGTGTCTATAACGTTTCCCAAGATAAACTCTTCCACGTTTAGCTCCATGCTGCTGCTAGAACCAGAATATAATGAATATATATGATTTAGATGTCTTGCTGCATACATTCATATGAGGAAAGCTAATAAAACACACATCACAAACTAGTGCTTTTTGATAATAATGATTTTACAATGAGGACAGGAGAGACAAATTTGAGACATTTGACAATTGACGGTTAATGCCATGATCAACTGCACAAATAAGAATGTCACCAATATAAGGATGCCAAATGATACAAATAATGTAATCATACCATGAAGTAAGCACTACCATTGTTGTCAAATTGTGAATCGCTTTGTTAAAATAGTGAATCGTGCATCATATCGAATTATTTAGCATAATATATAATTTTATATATGTATATATACATATAAAAATACATATAGTGTTTAAAATAAAATAAATATTAATATAACTAAACTGTATATATGTATATACATATAAAATCATGCATATCAATAGAATTAGTTTTTGTGTGTGTGTGCGCGCGCGCGCGTGAAAATGACGATGTTTAATGCATAATGCAAACATAACTAAATTGCTTGAATCACAATGAATGGTAGTGAATTGCAATTGAATCATAATATTCACTCAATTTAAGATTGAACTGTACAAATCAAATTGTTTTGCTTGAAACTCGTATTACATCATATGAATCGAATCCCGAATCATAAGATTCTAACAACCATGAGCACTACCTTTACAAGCTTCCCGGTAATAACATCAGTAGTGTAGCAATAACTAGAAGATCTCAAGGCATTTCTCATTGACTTACCCATTGACTTACCTAAGGATTGACGGAAAGTCAGAGGTTCAATGGAGGGTGGCAGAACAAGTACGATATGAAGGAAATGATTGAGAAAGAGATGAAGTAGTCAACCATGAGAGAGATAGGCAGAGCTCAACCATTGTCCATCGTATTTTAGGGTCTTGTCTGAAGTAGGTTAGATCGTTAGGATTATTCGTAATGATTATAGGTTAGCTTAGTGGCTGTTAGAATATATCATCACCTACCACCTCCACTCAACTCACCTACCACACACACTCACCTACTCCCCAATCCTCTCCTATATAATTAGTACCTCACCATCTGTAATTCACACATCAATACATCCATCAATAATATACATCAATTTATTTTACATTCATCAATTTATTTTACAGTGGCAAATCTCTCTTTCAGTATGGTTTCTTGACCCACACGGTGAACAATGCCTTGGCCGAACCTCCATCTCTAGCATCCAAGCCACAAAACACTGGATGCCTGCAGTGCACACCATAGGATTTGGCATACCTAGCATCTCTTGGCCCAATTACATGAGAGATGGGGTACAACACCCGCGGTAATGAGAGAATATAATAATTGTGGTCAAGTAATGAGATGTGTGGTATGATCACCACAGTGATGATGTTCACAGTTTGACCATTGCATAATGGGATGCACGGTTATGATTGTTGTGGTCACAGGATGGCCTAGACCCCTGATAGCCATAACTGATCTTCATAGAGATGGTGAACTGGACAAATACAAGATGTTGGAAGCCCTTTGAACAATGTTAAAATCAATATTTTGAAAACCAAACCGGTGAGCAAACCAAAAAAGTGACCGGTTGGATGGGTCACTAGTTCAACCACTGGTGAACCGAAATTGAACCGTGATGTCATTATGTCATAAATATATTATAATTTATAAGTATAAAAAATATAGATATTAAATTACAAATAATTCCAAAATATATATATATATATTTCTTAAAATTTATTTTATGTTTTTTATACATTGATTTTTAGTAAAAATAATTAAGATAATATTGAATATATAGTATATATACTTATTACATTGTTAGCAATTATGTTGATGGCTTAGTAGTTAGAGTGCTTGCTTTTTATGCACTTGGTTTCATGTTCAAGCCCTCTCCACAATATATTTTTGGAAGAAACTTCAATTCTTCTAAGCCAGCCAGTTATGTTGACCCGTGAACGGTTCGCCGGTTGAACCGGCAGCTCTCCACAACATATTTTTTGAAGAAACTTCAATTCTTCTAATCCGGCCAGTTATGTCAACCTGCGACCGATTCACCGGTTAGTCTGGTTGAATAGGCGGTTCTTCCGGTTTTCAAATTCTAAACCGATTTTGAGCATAGTCCGGATTTGGAGAGTGATACTGACCGGAAGTTAAAAAAAGGTAAACTGCAGCTCCTGCCAGGTTTTTTAGACATGAAATTTTGAAACTAACTCTTACATGGTTTTTTGCTCTCACACAGAGACTCGGGCCAATGTTTAATTCAAGCATGGCCTGAAATTAATTAAAATTAAAATCATGAAAAGATTGAAAATCCATGGATGAGCTCTCAACAGCACTTTATATTAGGTTTTGGTTGGAGTATCTGGATTTCAACAGACAATGGTGTTGGACAAACATGGATAAGCACTTTCATGCTAGGTCTGTTGAGTACTGAGAAATTGATATAAGACAGCACTGGAAAACTAAAAATGGTGCTGCCTATTATTATCAGGTTTACAGTGTTTTAGGCCAACGGGTCTGGAGGTTTATGGTTTAACAGGTGTAAGAAAGTTTTTAGGGTTTGTAAATGGAAATGACAGATATGACTTGGACTTGGACAAGTTGTTAGAATTCCAGGAATTATTTGGTTGAAATTCTCAATTAGCAACTAATTATTGAGTTTGGGTGTAAAATTAAAGGCCAAACGGAATGTAGTTGTTTAAGGCTTTGAAAGGTAGAACTTTGGGGTAAGAATAAAGGTTAAATCATGACTTTCACCTAAACTCTCTACTTTGAATCTATTGAATGCATAGAATACATAGATAATTCTAAGCTACAAATCTGTTTCCGCTCTCACGAGTAACAGGACCTAAAAGTTTAGAAACTATAAGCAGTGCTTGCAAATTATTCTAGAACTACTAAAGAGAACACAAACACCCAATTACAAATCTAGACCGAAACGAAATCTCCTAAACTACAACTACAAGCCACATGTCTAGCAAGGCTAAAATTACTAAGCCGCCTTTGATTTCGGCAACAACTAACCAATGAGAAACATAAAATTGACTCAAATTAAGCAAAGACACTGGTTTTTTTCTCCTCCAGTACAAAAAAGCTATGATTTCCATATTACCATAACCAATGCATTAATAAGACAAGAAATTTACAGTTTATCCTTCTTGTTTGTGAGCACCTCATCACATGTTATGACTGCAAAAACCCTTATGAAAGCTTAACAGGTAATATACCAGGCCCACAGAACTGGGAAAATTTTGATCTACCACACTCCTAAAATATACAATTTGCCTAAATGTATTTCATGCACATTGATATAGAGAAGTCCTCTTCTATTCCCAGGCATAGAAAGATTGATGTGTCTGATGTACTAAATTAACTAATATGACACAACCAAGGTTTTAAATAACGGTGGAAGTTACCGTAACGGTAGCGGTAACGCGGACACGGTTGCGGGGTGTAACGGTTGCAGTGTATGGTGACGGTAACTGAAACCGTGAATTTTTTAATTTTTCGCACGACTTTAGGAAAACATACCGATACGCATGTTTTTATTTCAGAATCACATTTAGTGAAACTCAAAATGGTTTTAGTATTTTTGTTTAGTTTTAAAACATGATCCAATATATATACTGATTTTTATATTAGTTTTAAGTTGCTATGGAGAATTATCCTATCGTTGAATTTATTTAATTTTCTTTACTTTACTAATTATAATTATGGATAATTTTCTGGTTTGTTAAGAAAAAAAAAAAAAGAATACTACAAACAATAGTCTCATAAATAGAAGTTCAAAATACAAAATGTCAACATAAAAATGTAAAAGTATATAGCATGAAATCTAAATTTTGTTCAATAAATTTAACATAAGAGAAATATATAGGAGTTGTAATACATAACACAATAACACAACAATCTTGTAATATCAATCAATCAATAAATCAATAATACATAAATTTCAACTTGGTATCAGAGCAAGGTTAAGAGTTTAGTATTTTTTTTTTCGCGTCACCGGCGGGGGGCAACCTCGCCTTGGCCGCCCGCCGGACCTCAATCTAGTCCGCTAAGATTTTTTTTACACCTACCTCGCCAGAGCAAAACCTCCATACCTCTGCGTCGTCGGCTTCATTGCCGTGGCCCGATGCGCCTGGCTCCGCCGCCGCCCCCAACAATGGCCTCAAACAGACGATCCTCCAGTCGCTTCCGAGGTTCACTTCCGACTCCTCCACCAGCCACTCCACCACCGGCTGCTGCTCCACCTGCTCAGGTTCCGGCCCCAGCTCCGCGCAAGCAGCCAACGTCTCCGTCGCCGTCGCCGTTAGCAGTGAGTCCTCCGGCACCGCCGACGGCAGCACCAGCGCCGACCCACGGGGGGGCTACATCGCCTTCACCATCTACTCCCGAAACGAGAGAGAGCCTAGTACTGAGAGAGGGAAGCGGGCGTTTCAACCCATACATCATCAGATGATTCCATATATTCTTCTGATTCTGGAGACACATCTACCTGGAAATTTGTCTCTCTAGATTTAGCATTTACATAAGACAAGGAATCAGATTGACCAACAGACTTATGAGAATCTGTTGAAACACTCCCCCAACAATGGCCTCAAACAGACGATCCTCCAGTCGCTTCCGAGGTTCACTTCCGACTCCTCCACCAGCCACTCCACCACCGGCTGCTGCTCCACCTTCAGAACTAGCAGAAGTTTGTGTTCTACCCATGCTTGATCCTGTCCTTGAAGGGCTCCCATCCTTCACCCTGTTATGCATCTCAGTTGAACATGCAGGAACAGATTTTCCAAAACCATCAAAGGGATCTATGTCATCGAATACCCCACCACTAACTGATGAACCACTGACTTTTGTGCTTCCAGAGTTACCAAGCTTACTGATCTCGTCAAGTGGATCGTTGAACAGCCCGGGGGATGGAACTGTATGGGTTGAAGTTGATTCTAAAACAACGAAGGGGTCCTCCATCACATCAGAAGTCGGTGTGGTTGAATTCCCAGTTGCTTTTTGTGCCTGATTAGACTCTGAAAGTGGCCTGTTGCTTTTTGAGGGAGTTGATCATGTTGCACACTGATGTACCCACGTGGGCTGTACCCATTCTCTCCTCCTCTTTTTAACTTTTCTTTTCTTTTCTTTTTTTTAAGTTTTGAATCTGCCAAGACCTCTGTACCACCACTCATTTATTTTTTATTATTATTATTATTATTCTTCTTATTGTGAGTTAGATATGTGATAGACATGCGAGTTTTATTGATTTAAAGTTCATTTAGATAAAGTTTAAAGATTTTTTTTTAGTTTTTTAGTTTGATAGACATAAAACGCACATAACAAAACTTCTATTGTCAAAAAGCAAGAAAGCATATTTCAGCCACCTAGGTTGACAATAAACCATAACTTCAGAAAAGGGTCTTAATTTCAAAAACAATTTCATTAGAAGTAAGCAATAAACATTTTTTAAGAGGAAATTTATTATCAAACATAATTGAAAAAACATTGCCATATCAGGCAGGGATTCTTACCGATTGCCCAGAGAAAACACACCAGTAGTCTTTACCATCCCACCATCTAGAGATAGGGCTCCATCCCTTATATAAGGAAGAGCCTGTAACATGTCTTCCCTCGTTCTGTAGACTTGAAGGCGAGAAAAGAGATTATAAAAAAGAGTCTCCCTAAGGCCCAGCCCATTGGCTGTGAGACGATGTAAATTGGCACTATCAATATTAATCATATTCACAGCAAACCCAAGAAAGCCAGGTGGAGATTCCCCACCGAGCAATCTTGGCTTCAAAAGATCAAGCCTCCTTTGTGGGTCATTAGTAACAAACTCACCAACATACGGCCTGATAACAAAAAGAAATATTTTTAGAAAATCCACAATTAGAACTCCAGACTGCACAAAAAAAAGATGGTACATGGATCAATACCGTAACTCTTCGAGACAGATGACAAGAAAGCGGCCATCCAAATGTCTCCCTATGGAAGTTCCAAGCCCATGAAGACCAGGTTGGAGCAGAGCCAGTTGGGAGTTTACATGCTGCACCTCATTTGTCCTACTCTGCAGCCGGTTCGACAAATTTGTGACCGCCGTCATGCTTTCCACACATGCCTTCAAAGTATACTGATTGGCCTCCACATCCGACAGCACTGCCATTCTTTGCTCCACAGACCGCATCGGAAAGTTCAACGGAGTATACTCCGGGGCGCTTGGTTGAGTTTCCAGTGCCACCGCACCAGTTCTCTCTCTCGTTGACTCATTGAGGTCGGGAAAGAGAGTGAGTAGACCTCGGGATGAGGGTGCCGTATTCTGGGTAGCTGAACGGGAAGAAGAGGCCATTGTTCAGATGTTTCAGAGAAGGTTTGGATACAACGTCTTTACAGAGTGTTATACGGAATCTCTCTCAGAAATCTCTCTCAGCACAAGGAACTCTCTTTCTCAGCAACACGAAGGATTTTTCAGAGGTTTCTCTCAGTTTTTCTCTGCCTCAGCCTCTGCCTTCGTCTTGGTTATATAGCCAAGGCAGCCACGCGCATCGCGCGCCTCTTACCACCAGACAAACTGGCAC